CCAGCCACCCAAGCACAAGTGCTAGAATCGGCATGGGTTGCGCATCAGTGGATACTCCACGTGAGCATCAGTTGAGACTGTCTTGTAGGTTCAGTGGAAACACAGAACCAAGTCAACACGTGGAGCGTTCTTAAATGTTTCCATTTGGGTTGTGCAACAGTAATGGTGTCATTCGGTCCAAAATAGTGGCAGGCCAATTTGTGCGAATTGGGACTTGGGGCGTATCATATCAATATCGACGACATGAGAACTTGGATCAACGGAGGGCTATACATACATAGACAACGATACCACGGCAGCTTTCATGAAAGCTTCCCCTGCTTGACTGGGGCAAGAGTTGGGGCTCACGGCCCAGTCGCTTGGTTGGGCGATATTCAACAGCCATTGGCCCAATGAACGAAGCGTCTGCATACATGTGTTGTCAGACACCGTATTGATGCATCGCGGTGTGGTGCGGCAGAAGTGACAATCCTGCTGCTGTTCTTGGTTGCGGAGGCATTGAGCCTCGAGTCGTATTGGCTCCCTATGACTTGGAGTTTTGTTCTGAATGAATTGACGAACAGGTTAGCTGAAGTACCTGGCTAATGAAGCAAGGTAATCCACTTATTGGCTTAGAGAGACACCAGCCAGCTACAGTAGACCAACCTACTGTGCCTCTTTGGGGCATTTAGGCCCTTTTAGTTCCTCCCAGATGCTCGGGTCGCTTAGGATCTTGTTTAACTAGACCCTGGATTTTCTCGGACAGATCATTTGACTAGAAATGTGCCAAACCTGCCAGGATGTCAAGACTGTGTGGCTAGATCGCCCACAAATAAAGAAGCCAAGAAGCGACTCCTGCTTGCAATATGTACTGTGCGAGGCTGTGCGTAAAGAGAAACAATCTGAAAACTGACAAGGCTGAAACAGGCAAATAGGTATGGCATCTTTTTTTCTTCTACTTTATTTTTGCCTGGATACCTGATAATTGTTTGTTGTTAAGATAAAACAAAGAACTCAGATGTGGTGGTCGTAGAGAGAGAGTGTGTGTGGAGAGGAAACCAAGTCGAGATTTTGAAGATCTGGAGATACCTACTACAGTACGGATACTTAGGTACCTTACCTCCCTCATTTCCCTTCACCTTCCGAATTTGATTTCCATGCACACAGCCAAAGGCCATAGACTTGAATTTCTAGCAGACTAACAGCCAATCGAAAGAATTCACAATTTTTCGAGCTACCCATGGTAAGTACCTTATTAGTACCTCACGGACATAATGGAAGACAGAGAGAGTGAGGATCCAATCAGCTCTCGATCCAGAGTTACTGCTGCTTCAATCCATAGACGGAATCATTTGGACGAAAAAGAAATTGGCAATGAAGAATTAGACTTTTTATTTAGCTTCCAGTTATGCTTCCTGTCTTCCAAAAATATTCCATCTTGAGATTCTATGAATACTCAGTGGTGGTTCTATAATAGTGTTCGTCACGTACAGTAGGTACTTTGTATATGGCACAAGGAAACTCAGTGCGCTGTGAGCGAGCCATTGGAGTTTCTTATCCATTGCTTTGAGTTACACATATGGAGTCAAAAATAAAATAAGGGCGAGAGATGATCAAGCGACGTGTCCGTCCGCCTGACTGATGTTAAATTTCTCGGTCACTCTCCTTCATCTCGTGTTGCCTTTCAACATAAGGTAACCTTCGTCCTTCCTGAGCGATAACTTACCAGTCAAATTGGACCAACTCTCCGCACGCCAATCCGACAATCTATCACGCGCCCTGCTGTTTCTGATACGTACAAGGTGCCGAGGACGCAGCTTTTCCCTGTCCCTGCCAGTTACAGTATCAGCCACAATGCCATGGCATACTATACCTGAGGTACTCCGTAGAGAGCGAGCGCAACAAAGTCAAGTACCTAGTTGGATGATAGCCACTGTGCGCGCTGTGGACTGTCGATATGACGGCGCTGCTTCTGATACCGTTTCATCTCGTCCCCAAGGCGCCAGCCAAATCATAGCGCCTACCGATCTCAGAAACCAAGTAAACGCATTCTAGGGCTGAACTAAAACTACAGACCAGAGCCACTACCTTACACTTAGCTATCCCCCTGAAGCCAGCTCGAAAATGGCGGATACGGAAACCTTAGCCCGATCAACGGCGTCGGCATCCAAACATTTGCTAGAGGATGATGGCCTGCAAGTCAGGGACTTGTCGATTCCACATCGACCAACTATCCCACGTTGGCACGTCACAAACAAGCCTCGCTATCCATAGCATCGCGTGTGTTGCGCAGCGAAATTGTCGTTACACAACCGTGTCGCGGAGAATATTCTGATCCATCCTTGAGCTTGGCTTGCGCTCGACTGTAACTAGCGTGTGCTGGGAACCACGACGCTGGGCTCATTCACACCCATTGGGGTATCGCCGCCACGTTCTTCGGCCTCGACTCAGCGGCACATACCCGTACGCGTACGATACGAACACTCCGTCTTGATTGCTTGTAAAAGTCTCGGTCTTGACCTTGAGTCAGTTGAGGTCACAAGAGGATTCTGCAATCTCTCCCTCCATCGGCCGTGGCAATCCGCGTGCCCAGTAACCCCATTCAATCTCTTTGATCGATGACCTCTGTCGCCCGTTGGCACCCTGTCCTATCGGTAACTCAGTGCTAACCCCTCTTTGGACTTAATTAGCCAAGCCCGAGCTGCATTCAAACTCCAGCATCCTGGACGCCTCTTCCTGTGGTTCAATCACAGCCACGTCGACATTGATTGGGCTAGTGGAAAAGGCCGCAGATCTACGGCGTACCTCTGCACAGTACGTACAGTATTTGGGTGGAGGAGGTTCCGTCCGAGGATCATGGAGGGTTGGCAAGGGTGGACATTCCTTTGGGCCCTTGGATCCTGTACGGGGTTGTCCTCTGAGTGGACCTTGGTACCAGAGCGCAGGGCACGCGGCTACTACCCATGTCATTCATGTTCTCTCCCCCTGGTCACCTCGCCATCATGCTGGCTTCGTGATGGCCTTCAACAGCAGGGCAGAGCTCGCGTTACAATCGTGTCTCCCAGACGTCGTGGCTTTTCGGCCGCAGACAGCGCGTTCAGCCTCGATAGCCCGACACGACAAGGCGTGATCAATACCAAAGCGTACAAGGGACCCATTCAATGAAAGACGGGCAAGAAGAACAATCATGACCAAATTCGCCGATTCTCTTCTACACACACTCCGTCACCAAAATTTGCAAGTCATCATCCTGCGTGTGTGATTGCACCCAAACAGGGGGGGCATATTGATGAGCAAAGCAAAGACCACCTCCCATTCCCAGCCAGCAGGACAGGCGCAGATTCCAGGACACACACAGTAAGGTCAGGTAGCTAAGCTCCTAAGGTACATTAGCTACCAGTACAGGGGACAGGGATCTCCCGTTCCTCTGGCTCAGCATAATTACCATCCTGTCTTTGATGCGTTGCTTCTTTCCAGCAGCACCGGGGGTGCATTTCTCAATTGGATTTTTATTATTGGTAGGTTTGATATGACAAAGAGGAGAGGGAAGAAAAAAAAAAAAATTCAATTTCAGCAATTGTGTTTTTATCCCCTTCCTCTTACCTCAAAGCTCCCAACTCGACAGCAAATTCCTCTCCGCACGCCATACGAATTCGAGCTTTACCTCAACCTTCCATAAGGTCTCCCCTGAAAAGACGCTTAGTCTTTCTCGTAATTACTCGCCGCTTTCGCTCAAATCCTAACGAGTCAGCGGCTCCCGGCACCGGCGACGTGGGGACTCCTCGGCAGAACGATCGACCTCGAGCAAGCTAGCAGATTTCTTGCCTGTGAGCCAAGCCTAGCCCATCTTGTCTAGGTGGCCCAGTCCAGGCCATTCACCATCTATCACACTACGACGGAAATACCCCAACTTGGGATTCATTTGCTGTACTTTTTGCTACAGTAATCGACATCGCTGTAAAAACTGCACGCAAATCTCGCACGCCCCTCTCGTTCGAACAAACACACGCTATCCACCAAGGTTGGTAAGCGCAGGATCCCACTGCCACTGCCCTGGGTTAAGCTATGCTTGAGTGTGCTGGCTAGACTGTCCCATCCCATCCTGCTCAGTACTCACTCGCTCGCTCGCTGTCCCTACTGTGCGGTACGTTACCGACTGTTTCGCGTCGACCCGTTGCACTTCGGTATCTTCCAGCCTAGCAAACAAGTCAGACCAGTCCAGTTCGACTGTCATCCAAACCTCGACGCGCATACCTACATACATACAACTATACACACGTTCGTTACGCTTCTTGACGGCTGGTCCCATCGATAGCAACAATTATTTTTTTAGCCCCTAGGCTGAGGAGTGTATGTACGTTGTCCATCACACTCTGTCATTCATTTCTCGCCTTGGGACCTCACAAAATTATTCGGTCCCGCTTCTCTTTCGAGTTCTCCGTCATTAGAGAAGGCTTCTTGCGTAGACGTACGTGTAGTATAGCATAGAAGCACCCCCCACCCCTGCAAGGCCTTGAGTCGCTCAGAAAGACGAGAGTCAGTGTATCGTGGGAAGATACACTTTGGCACCCCCTCTTGACGCTAGGCCCTCTTTGCTTCTGGGCCTTCGGCAGAGCCACCTAACAGACCGATTTCAACATCGCACTATATTAGTGCGTCGCTCCCCAAGAGCTACGGGCGACTTAGCCCGACCTCTCTGTGATCGAGGAAAACCGAACTATCCTTGCCCTAGGCTCCATTCCCCCATCTCTATCTCCCCTCCCCAGCAAGATCCGCGCTCAAGGACTCGGCCTAGGAGCTCGCATCACACACTTAACCATAAACCAACCTTTGGTCTTGCAAACGGCGCTACTACTGCCGCCGCCAACAACATATACTGCCGCGCCGCCGCAAGTCTGGTTGCAAGCGCTTCAGCCATATTGCACTTCTTTCCCCTGCTACGGGCAAACACCAACTTGACGCGGGTCTGAGCTAAAACCTCGCCGGCCATTTCTTTATCATCAGCCCCGTGGAGCTGTAGCATGTCTCTGGTGCCAACACAGCAACCTCATACCTTTGTTGACAACCACGCATCGTTGCATTCTGCCTCCAATATCGCGAAACTTGGTTCCGAGGCGACCCTTGACACGCTCCTCAGCTCTCCCAACTCTATGGAACGAAGTGCTACGGAGTACTCGCAGTCAGGTTTGCCTTCGCCCTATCCAAGCAACTTCGGCGACACCAATTCTGAAGGTTCGAGGGCAGATCACGCATCTGCTGCGCAATATCCTGTCAAGCAGGAAGTCAATTATTCGACCTCAGCCACTCCCACCTCCGAGTACGGCGTCTATCCTCAGTCAGCCCGATCAGGATCTTTCCCAGAGCACGTCCAGCGTTCATACCACCCTACCAGCAGCACCAGCACTGGAGGTATGGCGCAACAACAGAACAGTCCGTCAATGCCCCAGCAGGATGGGCGTAGCCATCAGACCCATCCGGTCAAATCTGACAACGATGTTCCTATAGATCCGTCCATCGCCGCGCCGAGCCCAACTTACGCTTCGTATGGGCAGCATTCCCCCTACGCGCCTAACCCAGACATGACACACAGTTATTCCCACCCAGGTGGCGGCATGTATGCGCAACCTCGGCCAGACTGGGCTGGTTACCCTCAGCACGGTGGTGCGCCTTTGACTCCCGGTCACCCAGTTTACGCCCAAAACCCTGCCTCTGCGCCACCTCAAGCACGACCAAACCAGGTATGTTACGACCTTTGCAGACACGTTCACGTGTGAACTGGAACGAGGAGAGTGCAATGCGCGCGCACGTTGAAGATGTGAGAAACGCGTTGATTATTCCAGTTTTGGTTCAGCTTGATGAATTGCCTGCTACTTGAGCTACGAGCATTACTAACTTTCTCAGGTTTACTCCTTCGTTCCCATTCCAGGTGCGCAACAGCATAAACGACCTCGGCGACGATACGAGGAGATTGAGCGCATGTACAAGTGTGGATGGAATGGCTGTGAAAAGGCCTACGGCACACTGAACCACTTGAACGCTCACGTTACCATGCAGTCTCACGGGCAGAAGCGAACACCCGAAGGTAAGCTGCTCACGATTGCGCATATATGTTTGTCGATGAGCGCACATGGCTAACAAATGACTATAGAATTCAAAGAGATCCGCAAGGAGTGGAAGCAGAGGAAGAAGGAAGAAGAAGCCAACCGAAAGGCCGAAGAGGAGCGACAACGCCAGGCTGCTGCTGCCGCCGCCGCTCAGAATGGAGGTGGTGATCCTCAAGGTCCTGATGGCACGCCTACCTCATCCTACCCGGGACGAACAGTTCAGCTGCCTCCCATCGGATACCAGCCTGCTCAGTACCCGCCACCACCTTCTGGGGTTCCTCAGCAGCCTCTCCCCGACTATAACAACAGCCATATGTACTCGAATTATCAACCTCACTCGCCTTACGCGCAGCCCAGTCAGGGCATTCCTTACCAATGTATGTTGCAGAGGCAGAGGGTGACTTAGTGGATGAACTAACCAGGCTTAGCAAACGGTGGTCAACCCCCAAGCCACTAAGACAGATCGTCAAGCAAGGATCAAGGTACTAGAGGAGGAAACTCACCAAAAGTCAGAAAGAAGATTGATACCCGCTGTATTATATTGGAATGATCGCTGTGCTTCTGAGCTGTCATTAGGGTGATCTGATGACGCCTCAGAGCGTGTGGCCGATTTGGAGGGGAAGAAACGCAACCTAACGTTTTCTCGGCCCGGTAATTACTCCTCTACTTGGACTCGCATAACCCCTTGGCCGGTCCTAGATCTCCATTGGGTTCCTGCATATCCTTTCAGCTATTGGACCCTTTCTTCTTGGTTTCATTTCTTGGAGTTACACGTATATGCCCTCGAAGAAGATCTTGAGTGAAGGAGTTGTCAATTTCTTTTCATCATCATCAGGTTCTGGTCAGGGGTAGGTGGTCCCGGAGGTTTGGCGTGTTTATTTGCATTTACGACGATCTGTTATGCTTTGGGGTCATGCCAAACCGAATTGCAGCAATTTGTCTTTGATGACGCACCGGAGGGCATGGCCACCATTTGCTTGCGCATATGTGTGGACAATGGTGTGGTGTGGTATTGAAGATATGTTTTTTTATACGAGACGGGCCTCACTTAAACTTGTCAAATGGGCCAATCAGGGGGGTACGAATAGATGCATCGACAGTATATGAGGATCGCACGGGCGTTTACATTCTGTGAAATGAGTACAAATTTTAAACCACAAGTGTAAAAGAGTTTCTTTAAATCAGATTTGTGTGTCTGAACAGTGATATTGCCATTTTCGAGTCTTGAATGAACAGAAGCACGAAACAAGGAGTAAACTTGAAATGATGAATTATGTACACTCAAGTCCTCAAAACGACTTCAGAATGCGACAAAGACTTAGTGAACCGGTCTGTCGGGTCACAAACCAGCCCTACCTCTTTTCAGAAGAGGCATAAATCGATCAAGACACATGGGAATGATGCTTAAACCTGGTTAAGCGTGGGTGGCGTGCCGTGGTAGGGTTGTGTTGCACACAATACATACATACTGCAGATGGGGGTGGTCGAGTAGTGTTGCTGTGCTACAGACGCTAATCTACGCGGATAGTCCCAAGTCCAAGTCAAGGGTGTGAATAACAAAAGAGCCCAAAGGCAAGGATTGGAGATTGGGTGATGGTGGTGATGGGCAAGGCAAAGGGTAGAGAAGGGAAAGGTCGGGTAACACAAGACATGGAAGCGCCTGACGTACATGTGTAGTGCACGTTAGCTTATTAACAAGGAGGTAGAATGGATGGAAGTGGTCTGATCATGTCTCTCGGCTTTAAGCAACGCCAAGTGGGAGGGGGCAAAATTGATATATCCAGCAGATCTATAGATTGGCGAGAGGCCAGTGTGTGTGGTGTGTGCGTATGCGTACATACATACATATGCGATTGGTGTTGATGGCCGGCCCCGACATACCTAGGTAGATACTCGAGAGGATCTACAGCTGGGATCCATGTGAGGAAAGGGGAAAGAAATGTGAGAAGTTATGGGTGAAGTTGTATTCTACGGCGCTGCTTGAGGTCCATGCATCTACTGCGCATATACAATATGGATACAAATGTTGGATAGAGTTTCATGATATAGACAAGGGTTATGATGCAACTCGAGTCAGGAGAGAATAACTCAATATAGGTATGCCATTGAGCGAGAGTCGATGAGTCAGTCATCTTTAAGGGTCTGGACGCGATAGTCGCAGCCTTATAAACCACCACCCTTGAGTGCCGATGAGCTACCCGCGGTGCTGTAACGTCTCATCGAGAAAGGGGACTAAAGTAAGGTACTCTGTAAGTATGTACTAAGTAAACAAGGGGGGCGTGTACTGGATCGCGTGCGAAAAGAAAACCCTAGCGAGGGGGAATTCCAACTAGAACAAAAAAGCGAGCCAACTAACTTATACCAAGGCCAAAGCGAAGCGAAACAAGGCGAGAAAAGTGCGTGCGTAGCGTGCAGCCAAAGGACCCCAAAGTAAGTGTGTGTGAGAGTGTGACTGATGCCGTTGCGGATGAACAAGGGGTCGACCACGCGGCGCTAGGAGAATTTAGCCGCTCATCTTTTAGTGCTCGAGGTACCTACCTAGTATTTACTGACTGACGTTACCTACCTTACTTGCAAGCCTCTAGTACCTAGCAAAGTGAACTGTCAGGTAACACAAGACAAGACAAGACAAGACAAGACAAGACAAGAGGAGAGACAAGACATGGGTCATGGCCCTTGGGCTGTTGGGGTCCAGAATTGTTTCGTGTCTGTATATGTATACCCCATGAAACTAATTTTCGCATGTGTAGAACTCAGTTGTTAGTAGTTCCTTTGTCTCGGGACGTCAAACCAAGGTTTACCTTTACACGCCTGAACGGCAATGGCTGGCCGTTGAATACGCAAGTACTAATGTATGTAGGTATTTTATACTTTGTCAACGGTGCGGGGATTTAGAGTCTGAGACGGGTGTGAAGTTGGGTGGATTCAGGTACGTGATACGCGACCATTTGACGGTTTGTCTTGAAGTTCAACGGTATGACACAATGATTTGGCTGTCGTGTCACAGGTAAGGCTGAGGTCACAGAGCACACGCTTAAATTGAACTACATGCATACATATTGAAGTTGGCTGCATATGTCTGTCCAACCACAAAATTGTAACCACGAATGCGGTATCTGATTTTCCGGGACAGTTCATAAACGTTTGTGACCTTGGAATGAATTGCTGCTATGTTTCATCGTAGGTATATATGTGGGACGATTTCACTCTCAACCCCATCGCAGCCCACCAAGAGATTGTTCCACCAGTATACTCGACCTATACTCAAGTAATGCTCTGTTACAGGAGAATAGTTACCTATTAGAGGAATCTATTCTCAATAATCATGGTGTTTCTCCCAGTAGACAAAGCCCGGTGATACGACTATCGGTCATCCCGAGCCTGAGCCAGGGTTTATGCACAAGCTCTGCATGGTAGCAAACTTACGCCGCACACGGACGCACGCAAAGCATCCTTGACCGGCACTTACGGGATCCATGATAGTGGCGGTGTTTGTTCTAGCATCGATCCATAGCAGGGCTCTACCTCGTTGCGGTTAATGTGTGGTGACGTTGCAGGGAGCCAGGAAGGATGCGATGCGATGTCGAAACAGGGCGTGCGGTGGAGGAGTAGCCCATCAAGTTTTGGTTTGGGATGACAGCTGAAAGGATAGTTCTTGGCGGCTATATGATCGGGCATATAGCAAGCATGTGTTGTGTTTCACATACAAAGCCTCGACTATTCTGGACTGCTGGGTTTAGCAACTCTCTGATAAGACTATCGAGATGGTGGTTGAGTGACCAACTATGCAGCATCTCGTGCATCGTTACTATTATCGACATTACAGCAGAATAATCAGTTGAGTACAGCCGTGGGCCAGATGACCGTTGAAACATCGAATTTGGAGGCTTGCGGGAATGCGGTTCGGGACGAAAGCGAGGCAGCCAGAAATCTAAAGATGCTTTTGCTCCGGGGATGCGTCAACTCACCCCCATCATAGGGCCGACTGCTTGACCACATGCTTTCTTCTTGACTCACAAGCAAGTGCTGAAGTTTGAGATATCAATGACTCCACGACTCGAGGGTGTGGCATGTCACTCACAGTTTCACATGATACAGAGCTGTTGAAAAGGCTTCAAAGTATTTTTTGCTTGTGAAGATATTCAAGCACTGCATTAAACTAATACCAAAAAGTGGCATTTATCGTTAAATGATGTCTTTTTCGTCTTGCTGAAGTGATGCTCATATGGAGTAAAAGGTAAAAGGTATTGACGAAAAAAGTGGGAAAAGGCAACATCAGGCAATCAATCACCAAATCACACCCAAAGTCATACATTATCTCAGCGGTGAATTTGGGTCACAACTGCGTTATTCAATAAATGTGCCGTCTCCCTTTAAATATTAATTTCCTTCACCTCGTTGTCTGAGAATGTCATTTAGCCCTTCGTGCCTTTTGCTGATGACGTGCTGTCGTGCATAGGTAAGGTAGTCTAGGCTGTGCCACGCGGCCGAAGAAAGCCCTGGATACGAAGAGGATTGCCAAGTCAAACACGCAAAGAAATCGCCAAAAGAAACCCGGAACCTTTGTTGAGTTTAGAAGAGTAGGAATTTTAAAACTGCATTAAATTTAAGTCAAGTACCGACGCATATTGAGTCTTGATTGTATCACATCTGACAAAGTTTCATCAACTAGGTAACCTGGGCTGCCTGCTTTTTTTTTGCTACCCCGCCATCTCAGCATTATCAGCCTCAGCACTGTACTGTACCCTTACATCCCATCATATCTCGTACTGCATCAATACTCAGACACCCGGAAACTCAATATCAATATTGGAGTAACACTATCCGAATATTCAAGATTATTAGCTTCCGTCGCCCGCTCCAGGCAGGACCCGTTGCCACCTTGTCAAAATGGAGGGAGATCTCCCGTCCATCCCGTCACGACCTAAGGGTTTGACGAAATCGAACTCAAGCGCATCTTTCGGCGGTGGCTCTGCAAAGTCCGTGTCTGTACTAGGAACACATCCTCTGGGCACTCTTCATGTTCACCAAGTCAGCGAGACGCCTCATGAGCAACAAGATGGTGATGGCCCTCCGCCCTTGGATCCTCCCTCGGGACAGAGTGAGAATGCTGTGATCAAGACCTCTCAACATGGCTCATCCAACACCTTCCACAGCCCAAGCTGGGAACCCTTAACACATAACATGGGAGGCGGAGATGTGGTACTCATATTGGACTTGCCCGAAGTATTCACGGTTGGCTACGACTCAATATCATTCACAGCTAAGCACTTTGGTGGCGTCAGGGACATACCCCCAGGTGCTCATTTCTTCTGGGTTGCTCACCCAGGCGGCCTCTCTGCTCGCTGTGGTTTCTGGATTGTCACTAATAGTGTCGACACTGTCCATGTTATGCAGTGGGATAGATACAATGAGGTTCTGGGTGATTCAGCTCGTGCTGAAGCCCGCATTCAAGCCGATAATCTCGACACTATCCACTCGAAACTTGTCCCTTATCAAGATCCAAGTGCAGTAAACGCCGCCAATGGTGAACTTACTCAGGCTACCTCACACAAAAATCTCAACATGTGGGAACAGTTGACTGGCAAGATCACAGAGAGTCTTCTCAATCGAGTGACGGGACAGAACTACGATAACTGGACGGTACATACCGGTGATCGTGTCAAGGGGTCGATACTCATGGCTGGTGAGATGGAACTTGACAACTCAATTTCAAATTCTTTGCTCAAGGCTCGCGAGCTCGACTTCGCATTTAGCCAACGGACCAAAACATACTCAACAGATAATACCGGAGCCGACCGGACCTTAAGAGCCACGGATGCAACTCCTTATATCTTGTCGCAGGTTGATGCTTCTGATAATGATCTGAGCCCTGACGACGTTATCGGCGAATTCCAGTTCTCTTTCGTTGTAGGCGTCCACCTTGGGAACGATTCATGCATCCAGCAATGGTGGCATATGTTGCTGAAGATTTTTCTCCGTGCTCATCTCCTCCCCCTCCGCCGACCGTCTCTTGCAGCCGCATTCATTCGAACCTTAATGGCCCAACTCACGTATAGCGCCTCCTGGCTGGAAGGTTCAATTCTTGATACTGCAGAGTCACAAACGAAAGATCTTCGACTTTCACTTACGGTCTACAAAAGACGCTTGGAAGAATTTTTGCAGGGTTTAGGGAACAATGCCACATCTGAGCAATTGACTGTTGCTACAGCTTTCGCAGGACTTGAGGCTGTTGTGACTGGTACACTGGATTGGGATCTTCGCGGAGACTATCTACGCCGAGGCAAAGTCATGATGGAAGATGGCGAGGAAGTCGAGCTGGAGGTTGCTGACTTGGCAGCCGAAGATGAGCGTGGAGAATGGGCACCAGAGATTGTTGACCTGGATGAGTCTGGACGACAACGCGATCTTGTCTCGTGGAACGACTAGATATGCTATTTCACGAGAATGTTTCGTGCTTCCAAATATTAGGGGAGACTGGCAAAGCCAACAACAGCAAGGAGGTTCCGGACGCGACGGAAGAAACAGAGCATAATGTGTTACCTTGCGTGCAAGGACTAGCTCACCATCGGAATGCAGTTGGATCGATCGGACGATTAAGTTTACAAAGCTGGAGTTAGGAGTTGGGATTTGTCCTCGTAGCAGCAACAAAGTACGAAACATTTGTCGTCTATTAATGCATTGAACCCATTGAACAGGCCTAGGTTGATTATGATGGCACGAGAGAAGGGTAATGGTTCGAAACCACGGTCAGCAGTCTAACTGGTCAGCAACGCTGTTTCAACTCAATTGCAAATTGCATTGCCTGTATTAAATGGTCTTGACTCGACGGAAACAAGCCCGATGCTCTTTTTTGCATATTCTTGTCAAATGCGAAAACAGTTATCGTCACAGGTGAAAAATGGAAACTGAGTATCGGAGCGAGTCCAGCAAGGAGGCAATTCATTAACATCACAGTGCGAAGCAGCACGGGCCGCGTCGTTAACTTTGAAGATTTCATTTGCCTGCCAGATCCTTTACAATCCGCCAAAAGCAAGACCATGCAAATGCTAATGGGAAACCCATCCCCAAACCAGGGAAATTGTGACTCCAGTCCCTTTTTCGCACTGCCCGTAGTATCCTCCACTGCACCAACGCTCCGGCTCGACGCTTTTTTGCCCCATTCCGACAAAAGTCTTGACCGTTTAACGGTAAGACTTCTGGAAGCGAGAGCGGGCACCCTTACCACCGAACTTCTTGGGCTCACATCGGCGGTTGTCGGCAACGAGGAGGGTTCGGTCGAACTGGACGAGAGCCTGCTTGAGGAGGTTCTTGGAGTGCTCATCAACAAACTTCTGGTAGTAGGCGATCAGGGACTTGGCGATGGCCTGTCGAATGGCGTAGATCTAACATACAGTTAGCCTGTCGTATATATTGGCAAAAAAAGGGAAACAAACCTGAGACACCTGGCCACCACCACTGACGCGGACTCTCACATCCACGTTGGCGAACTTGTCGAGGCCAACAACGAGGAGAGGCTCGTAGACCTAAGGAAAAGAGTGTTAATCTTTGGTTCCCAACAGACACAAACACCATCCGGGAGCATCGTCATATCAGATTCGATAATTGAACGACGTGCTTTCGTAAACGGTCGAGGCATTCGTGATTCGTACCTTGAAGCGCAAGATCTCGGGCTGGACGAGAGAGAGAGGTCGTCCGTTGACCTTGATGAGACCGCGGCCAGCCTGGAAATTTCAAGTCATGTCAGCCTCTCTGGTTCATTCTCTCATCTTTTTGCTGGAATTTCGCGTACCTTGCAGTGAGCAACGGCGGTGGCGGTCTTCTTTTTACCAAAACACTGCACTGACTGAGTAGACATGATTGCTGGTCTTGGTGTTGTCGTTGGGCGGCGGGCGGAGGTTGAAAGCGTGGTGATCTTTTGGTGGGAGTTTAGATTCTGTCTCTTTCGTGAAAGGCGCTAGTGCCGAGTGGGACCGTGACTTTCTTTCAGCCAATGAGAAGAAGACCCACGCACAAAGCCAGGGCTTCGAAAAATTGAGACCTCGTAGACAAAATTACATCAACGGACTTAGTCCTTTTCAGAGTAAGACTTGCACGCTCTTTTTTCCACGGCAAACTCGCATATCTCCAAAACCATCGACCCTCGTTAGGGCACTGCACGTGAACACTACGAGCATTGTGAGCCGGACTGCCCACCTTGACAAATTTTCGTGCGTCTAACAACTCACAGCCGAAGTTCAACGTTCTACTAACCGTCCCCTGTGCAGTCGTCAGGTCAGCAAACCACATCTACCATCAACCAAGACGCTTTATTAACACATTACAGAATGGTTGCCGCTAAGCACGTCAAGATCGTCAAGAAGCGTACGTAAATTCGACATTCCTTTGCGACAACACGAGCGAACGAAGGAGAAACGAGTGATGGTATAGTCAAAATGCTGACTTGTGTGTGCAGGCACGAAGCGCTTCGAGCGTCACCAGAGTGATCGCTTCAAGTGTGTCGACCCCAGCTGGCGCAAGCCCAAGGGTATCGACAGCCGTGTCCGACGACGATTCCGCGGCACCATTGCCATGCCCTCTGTATGTCGAACCTTTGCGAGGCCTGACGTGAATTATCGACTTTCCATCAGGCGGGAGACAGAACTTAGTGCTAATGTTGCATGATTTCAGATCGGCTATGGCTCCAACAAGAAGACCCGCTACATGACCCCCTCCGGTCACAAGGCTTTCCTCGTCAGCAACGTCAACGATGTCGAGCTTCTCCTTATGCACAACCGAACCCACGCTGCCGAGTACGCTCTCCCTCCAATCTCACTCGACCAACTGTAGCTAACCATGATTTCAGGATTGCCCACAACGTCTCGTCGAGGAAGCGAGTTGACATCATTGCCCGCGCCAAGCAACTGGGTGTCAAGGTCACCAACCCCAAGGCGAAGGTTACCACCGAGGTTTAAAAGGAAATGGATCGGTTATTGGGCTGCTTTACGGTTATGCATCGGAAAGGGGTTTGCGTTACTTGCGGTTCTGGCACATAGCTCCATGGCATGCTAGAGAATAAAAAAACGCGCCGTTGAACGACAATGATATCTGGCATCAACCGCTTGAGTAGCAAAATCTCTTTTGAGGCGGAAGTGACATGGAATATATGTCTGATCCACTCGAAACTGATGAGGTCTCTGATGGTGGCATGGGCGAACATATTGTGAATTGTGGATGAGACCATGAATATAAACAAGACTCCATGCCGGCTCCATTTCGCTCCCTCAAGAGCATCAATATGTTGACAGGTTCACTTGTGCAGCGAATCTTGCTTATGACGTTGGTGCCTAAACAAACCCGAATTTGATTGCAATAGTCCGCAAGGCAAGACAATCCAGCGGCGTCTTCCCTGGCTACTGGACACAATCACGACAAGAGGATGAATGCCTGAGGGCTTTGTCGTTCTTAAACAAATTCATTAACCCACTTCGCTGCTTTTTCAAGAAGACAATCGTACGCTGGAGGAAACTGTGACTTGATGACAAAGATCACAGCCTTGAAGTGAAGCAAACTGATGCCCTAGGACCGCATGATGAAAGTCTAGCAGAACCAGCTGCAACCCATCTTTGACTATATCTCAAGAGCATCTACCTTTTAAAAGCTGAAGGCTGAAGTCTTCGCCTGGAAAAGGTATCTATAAAAAAGAGTTTGCTTTGATGTTGCTACCCTGGCGGTTGGCAGGCAGCTGCCACTTGCCTCGCACTTGCCCAATCTCATGGCATAACAGCCAGCCATGACGACAAGCCAAACCTCAGGTCCCGTCTTCAGCTTGCCAGTAAAAAGAAACTTCCCTTTCCGTATTCCATTTGAATGGGAAATTTCCCTTGAGCCCCTCTCGTTCCCCTTCTTGGTAACCTCTTCAATATCATGAAGCAACTTTATACTCGGCATCGTCTATAGTCAACCAGCCTCTTACAACTTGACTCGGGCTCCTTTACTCCGAACCTTGTCGTCTTCTCTATATGCCCAAGTATTTGATTTAATGCACCTTCAGAGCACATTCGCCGATTCTGGCCTTTCTAGCATGACAATGGCGTTTCTACCACCACCACGGTTGATGCATCAGCAACCCTATAAACCAACATGCACCCATCTCACCATGACCCGGATTTACGACGCAGACTCTAAATGTTCCTCTTGTCATGAGCCCGGTCAGTTTGGCTGGCTCTACCAGTGTACACAGGATCACGAGAAGATGATTGAAGAGAAACTGGTGAGAGGCCTTCCACGGAAGAGCAATATCTGGTAGACCTTGGTAGCTAACTGGAGAGCAGCCATGCATGGACTACTTGGATTTCAGCTTTCGCAAGAACATGGTTGTTCGAAAAGGCAGCGCAGAAGCCCGACGCGACAAACTTAGCTTCCTCCAAGAACTCACTCCCCAGCAGATGGCATCCTACCGACCAGATCAAATTGCAACTATCCTCAGACAACGAGAGGAAGTGAGGCAACAATAGTTTCCTGTAGCCCTGGAGATATACTGATATCTGTGGCAGTTAAAGGAGGTCATTGCAAAGGAGGAACGACAAAAAAGCACCTCCGCTCTGTTTAGCAATCTTCTTCCACCCCTAGGTTTCGAGTCTTCATTCAGTGATAAGGGACGACGGAACCTTGATGAAGAAACCCTTTGTCAGTACAAGATCTGCCAGAGATGCCGCCCTGTGTGCGTAGATCGGGCATTCTTGAGCCTCAATGCAGTCGCCGATGGCGAGATTACTCCAACAGCTGCTGCCGGTTTTGGTTTCGAGTCTCTAGGCGGAAGGCCAGTCATTGACAAAGATGTTGTTAGGCATATTGACGAGCACCGCCCGAGAGTGAGTTTAGATCCCTGATAATCAATAGCAGGTTGTTGACCAAGGCATCCAGCCTCAGATCGGCAATCGTCGAATGATGGAACTGCTTGACGAGCAGATTGCCCGTATGCTCGCAAGTCACAATCAGAACCAACCTTTTCGAAACGGGCTTAGGAGTACAATCTCTGGACTCAGAGGAGCACGGCAGTTGCCCACTGTTAAGAACGTTGCTGCAAAAAGGCAACGCATGCGCGACGAGGAGAGGGTCTTGGCCGATGCCGCTCAGGGCGACGTAGAGACTATTGCCTCGACGCCCGACTTGCTGGGAAACCCCTGGCCATGGCTGGCTACTTTCCAGGCGCCTGACGAGCACGAAGATGACCAAACCCACGGTCAGCACCCACGACAAAGAGGGCGTGCCACACGGATTCCTCGGTAAGTGTTTAGAGTGATGTTATAAGCCGGCCTTATTAACCAAGACGGCGCAGTCCCACTACTCCTGGTCCGAGATCCGCACGTCGCCGTCTGACTGATCAAATGTTGTCTAGTACGTCTAATATCCTTCCTCTGGATGGATATTCTTGGAGCCTTTTTGGTGGTGGCGAAAATGCATTCTCAACAACCACCTCGTCCCTCAGCGAAGCTTCCAATATCAAGTCCTCAGGGGCCGAGAACGAGAGCAATAGCGAAGAACCATCGACTATGTCACTCGGAACTGACCATGGTGTTGCGATTACAGAGGAAAGCATTGAGGCTAGAGTTCCCGATGTGGTGACTCAGGTATAAAGATGATGGTTATGAAAAGTGTGTGCTTGGGAAACCAGTGAGGTTACAAGACTTGGCGGTGCACTTAAAACTGGTCTGGGGTTTTGCGGCGTTTGAAAGGTTGTCGGACTGGTTGATACTTGGTCGAGTCAGGCTTTGTCTGGAGTCTTGGAACATTTGCTTCTGTCGGAGTATTCTTTTGTTAACCTATGGTTGGTCCATCTCTACTAATTATCCTTGGAATTCTCCAATATCTTCTTCATCATTTGATTGCCCACCACCTTGGCCTCCTCAAATCGTGGCTCAAAGAACTGCTGAGTACTCACGAACCGCTTCTCCCATGTCTCGAAATGCCCCAGGTTCACACACTCCGCCCAGGCCCGTGCTGCAAAAGTGAACTCCAGATCATCGCTACGGTACGTCTTATCCTCAATTGCAGTCTCAATGGCTGCCTCAAGGACATCTTCGTTGCGGAACAGATATTCAGTGACACCAAGACGCAAGCGGAAGAGAGGAGTGCTGCAGAGCATGTGATCGTATGGCACAATGTTGAGTGCTGCCCAGCAGTCGACCATTGCAAGGATCGAGAGATGGTTGTTGGGTCGAGGCTCATCAGTAGGCGTACCAAGCGAGAAGGACGATAAGATCGACGGCTCGAGCAAGGGACGTGTGTCCCAGGTCGTGGATGGACCGAATACCTTGTCGCGTGCACGGTAGACTCGTTCTCTGAAACCCTCGCGGTTTCCTTCGAGCATGAGTTTGTACAAATCGGTGACACTTCGTGCGTACTGTGAGATCTGTTCACTCGCTTCAGGGTTGAGAATGGCAAGGCCAGCGTATACATGCCACTTTTGACTGTAGATGCGCAACATCAGATTGACCTTGACATTCTCAATACCGCCAACATATCGACTCAGCTCCCAAGGAAATTGCTTGTTAGCGTGCCACGCCTTGCCCATAGATAAGAAGGCTGCATGGGTGACTGCTTGAGTATCAGCGGTGATACGGTCGTGCTCGCGGGCTGAGAGATGGACAAATTTTGAGCGGAGACAGCTAAGGACAGTCTCAACCTTTCGAAGAGCTGAGTCTGGGGCGCGGTGTTGGATGAGCACAAGGGGTTGGTTGATCGGATCAACATTGGGGCCATGAAGTGAGTGGCACGAGATAATATCGACGTCGGCGGGGAGGTGAGCCTCGAAGGCAGCGATCTCGGGGGACTTGCAAGAGGTTTGGCCTCCAACAATGGCACCAAGCTTGGTAGCTGGTCACAACAGTCAGTGTCTAGATGATGGCTACTGTTTAACCTCGAGAAGAGACGCTCAAAGAAAACATTCACAAGGGATACGAAGAGAGGGCGCGTACATGGTCCATACTGAGCAATTACACGGTCAATGACGGCGGCCTCGACGCTATAGATGATGTAGTCGCTTGCGCGGGAAACATAGTGGCCATTTCGACAAATTTCTATATTTTTCTATTTGATAGCTTCAGCGACTTGGGGCGAGGCAGAGCAGACAGGAATTACTGAGCCATACATTTCCAGCATATTCTTTCTGAAGCTGTTCCTGATTCTCTTCTCTGTCGCAGGCCATAATTCTAAAGTAGATCCGCCGTTAGCCACTCGGCATCAGGTTAGGTGTTGCATTCACAGGAGAGAGTATCTGTTCTTGTAGTTGTTAGCTTTTGTGTCAATGCAGAAGTGCTAACAAAATGAGGTAGATGGGTGAAAATTCAGACAGTTGATAATTAAGGTAGCAAGCGTTTACATCATTGAGAGCACAGGTCCGGTTCTGATGGCCATAACGGACACCAGGCGTCCCTGAACAATGCTCGAGCCAAATGCGCTCTAGTCATCATGAAAGAGGTGAGGGGGGTGGATGTTGAGGAGGAAGAGTTGGCTTACCATTTGAAGAAAAGGAGCTGGAGCTGGAAGTACGAATCGCAATGGATTCAAGACTTACCTCCAGCCAGCGGCAGACAGCCTTTCGGCATACATCTTGCCCATATCGCCCATACCAATCAGTCCGACGACGAAGTTCTCCATCCCCTCAGGGACGGGCTGCGATTGTGAAGCCATATTATCTGCTGCGCGAGGATAGCAAGAGCAGGAAACACGAATCACATCCTCTCAAGCGACAGTGCTTTGAAAGAGCTTTGTGCGGAAAGCTTAAAAGAGTGTGTTTGAGAGTGAAGAAAAAGTCAGAGTGAAAAAAAAGTTCGCGACCTTCTTTATGGTGGAGATTTCAAGCGCGTTACGTAAGCCATCAATATTTCGCGTTATAGCGATAGGTGGATCTATGAAGCTATCCACTTCAGCATCAAGAGAAGGACGTAGAAGTTCAAGAGGAGGGAGGAGCTTTTGATGACTGCACTGGTTGAGTTCATAATTTCGCTTCGTTCTTTAAAATGGAGGTCGTGTTTGCGTTAGGCTCCAATGGCTCTGGTCAGTTGGGCATTGGCCACAAAGAAGACGTTTCAGTGCCGAAGCAGGTCCTCTTCCATCCTGGCCCTCCAACCTCCCCCATTACAAAAGTCGCAGCGGGTGGGAACCATACGTTGCTTCTTACGAAAGCTGGCCAAATTTACTGGAGTGGCGATCCCACGCCTGGTGCATGTGGATTGAACACTGGTCCAGATGCAGCTGTGTTCCGAGAGATTCAGCTTACCAAGAATGGAAAATCTCCAGTTGGCGAGATTGCCTTGATCACGGCAACATGGGAGGCTTCTATCGCTGTGGCTAAAGATGCAGATGGAAAGAAGACTCGAGTTTTTAGTCTCGGGGCGGGATTGAAAGGCGAACTAGGTCTGGGAGAACTCATCGTTCGAACACCATCAGCAACCCAAATTCGAGAATTTCCACCCCTGGGAACAGAAGTCGTCGACTTGGCTGCTTGCATGGGGCACGTCGTTGCAGTTCTCGACAATGGCGATGCTTACGGCTGGGGCAATGCGAGAAAGTCCCAAGCTGGTGAGCCAGGCCAAGTCCTTCATGCTCCTCGAAAGATCGAGGGCATCGACTTCAAGATCACAAGAGCTGTTTGTGGCAGAGAATTCACATGTCTATTTGGCGACCCACAAAGCGGACAAATGAAGGTTCTAGGTTCAGACAAATGGAATATTCGTTCAGGTGCACCCGAGACATGTCCTGAATGGTTGGACGTAGGCTCAAGTTGGGGAAATATCTATGTACTGCGAAAGGACGGTTCTCTACAAGCCTGGGGACGAGATGATCACGGACAACTACCCCCACCGAATCTACCCGAGCTGAGCAAGATTGCAATCGGCAGCGAACATGTTGTTGCTCTCTCTTCCGCAGGCGATGTTCTATCATGGGGATGGGGTGAACACGGCAACTGTGGACCCCAAGTTGAGAATAACGATGTCAAGGGTCGGTGGAATGTCATTGCTTCATCTAGATTCATTCCCCCAGGCTCTAAAATAGGAGAAGTCGGGGCAGGGTGTGCTACCAGTTGGGTATTCATTACAGCTGAGTGAATAGACTCGTCTACATGCCACGTCTTTCATCCTCCATAGCATTTCCTTGTCCTCAGTCCTCAGTCGGGGAACAGGGCTAGACTTTCGACTTCTGTCAGCTTTTGTGTTGGCTCAATATATGTTGATTCAGCATCTGTTGGTGGTGGATGGGGAATTTCGGCTTGGGGTTCGACAGGAGCAAGGTTCTCCAAGAAGCGACTCGCGTCCATATCAGAAGCGTTCTACTATAGTCAGTACGCGGTCACAAGAAGGGCTTTTTCAACTCACAGGATCAATGCTATGATCCCAACCCAGCTTAGCATTGTCCTCTGCAAGCTCTTCATCCTCGTAGTTGATAGGCTCCCAACCTTCATCCTCAACGAATAGACTCTCGGATCTGTTAGTCGCTGGTGGTGCCGGTCTCTGCGAGGGCCGAAGGTCAAACGCCCCTACGCGCGAAGCGCTGGCTCTAGCAGCGCTCATCTGTGGTGTTGGGTTATGCTGAGGCAACGATGGGGGAGGAGGCACAGGCGCGGGTGCTGGTTGTGACTCTGGAGGAGCCATGCTCGGCCGCCGTGATGTAGCTTCCAGACGCGGGCCAGTATTCTGAGTTGCGTTCTTGCGTCCTTTCTTAGTCCTCTGGCCAGTGTTGGTCCCGCGCTCGCCAACAGTCATGACGAGAAATTCGCATGACATAGCGTCGCCAGTATATGAAAGCTGGATAGGTTGTGTAGGGATTGAGTATCGGGCTGACACATCGTTGCCTGTGATGCCAGCATGTTGAATAATAGCGCGGAAGTCTTTGACGGATATTACAATGTGAAGCTTGTCTTCCACATCAATCTCGTCGAACTCTTCCGCTTCGACGGCGATTGACGTTTGGAGTGGCTTCTTCAAGACCGCTATTCAATGTCAGCTTATAGACAAGCATTTTGTCAAGAGACACGCACCATCCTCGCTCACAGTCTTTTCACTGAAACAAGTAAAATTTACATGATCTCCATCAGTGTTGATATCGAGGAACTCAATCCCAGGGCCAAAGTGATCCATGAGCTGCCGCAATGTGCGTGAAGAGATTGTCCAGTGGTGGGGGGCATCTTGTTTGTTGAACTTGGCGTGGATTGGTACGGAAGCCTCGAATGGGAGACGGTGTGTAGATGTCAGTCCATTTCGAAAGATAAGACGTGCGATAAATCGACTTTGAACTCCCTCTCCATCTTCAATTGCGACATCGCATCTGTCGACGAGCGTTTGCTTCTCTGCATCTCTTTGTGAGTCAGGCGCCGTACGGCTTCGAAATAGAGAGATCAGAGCCTTCAGATGGTCAGCATGGTCCATGACATGAGGGGAGAGTTAAGCCTACTCGGATATAGAGTGTACAGTAGAAACGGTCACGAAATTGGCGACTTCCTTGGTACTGGTACCGGGAAAAGAACTTGGTGGTTGCAAATCTGACACTTGCGTAAGCAGATTTTGAGGTGTTGAGGGTAGTGAGAATAAACTAGAGGTGAGATGTGAGTGACGAGCTGGATGGGAGCCTTCTGGCACATGCTGAACATACTGAATCCTTGCGGGCCTCGAGTGAAACGTCGTCACTGAACTTGTTCAGGCAGATGAGGGCATCGCGAAAGGCGGAAACACCTTCCTCACTGAGGGTGAAATTGAGTAGCGCCATGACGCTTTGAATTGTTTGAATTGCTCATGAAAATATTTTTGCCATGTTTGAAGACAGTTGTGAAGTCAATGTCTTCTTTTTGAAATGGCAGGCACACGTTCACGTTCGTAGAGCAGCAGCCATGACAAGTCGGAGTTGACGAGTGTGGATCCGGAACCCCACTATCCCTACCCTGTAGTTGATGAGCAAAACACCAGGAAAATACATCGTCATCACAGTCAAGTTCAATTTGGTGAAAAGTCAAGTTTTATTAGGAGGAACAATCTGATATTTATCCCTCATCCGACCCAAAACTCCTGAAAAATCCATTACTGTCGTGTCATCGTTCCAGCGCCGTCAAGACGTGTGTTGTTCCATCAAAAGATTGTTTAGGTGCAGCCATCTCAAGCGACTAGGCAGCTGAGGCACCTAGCGACGGAAACAGCTGAACTTTCCGAGAGAGAATCGCCAAGGGCCCCGTCGGACGCCGTGCTTGTCAACATGAACACTGGTGCCGAAATGGCGACCACCGACTCCCTTTGACCAGAAGAGACCCATGATGTTATGTGTTTGTTTGTTTGTTTGAAAGTGATGGTTATCTAGACGTGTCTTGTTAGCTCAGGTAGGTATGGTTGACGGAAGTGAAAGGCTTGTGCTCACCTTTGTGTTGAAGTTGAAGAGATGTCGTTGAAAGAAGCTTGTTTACGAGGAAAATAAGGTGTTGGGGGGTTGCAGATCAACTTTATACGACATCTCAGCCCAATCCAATCGCTGCCTTGGCAGGGACCATGGGAGAGGCCTCTCTGTAATTCGATCTACGATTTCTCGCCAGTGACATCTTTTGGCGCTCAGTGACGTAGGCTTAGTGGCGGTGTCAAGGTCACGCCACACATGATGTACCTAGTAAAGGTTGCTTAAGGTAGGTATGACTTTATTTCTGGCTGAAAGAACTTATAAATATTAACACAATTTGAATAAACTGAATAAATCATTTAGCAAGTTATCTTCTATCACTGGTTTCGTAAATGATGTTGATTCACAGTACAATCGTCCCTTTGGTGGCATATCTTGGAATGCATAGAGAGGGAGCAAGGAACTTACTATCTCTATCCTAAGATATAAAAGATTTAGGCAAATTTAGCTAAATTTAGGGTAGTTTTAGGATACTTTTAGATCAATTACTTCGGCACTTGGGATAAAGGTCCATAAATTTTCCTGCGTCTCATAAAGGGAGGGCTTAACATGGTTGTTCCAAAATCAAGCTTGATGCATGTAAATCTTGCCTTCTTCTATCCAAGTGAAACACCATCACAACGAAAAGCCACGATAATCCCACCCTTAAGCCTTCGATATCTACGCGTCAACACTCTTCTACTTTTATCACACAAGTAAAGTGTTAGAGTGGCTCTAGCGTTTGCAATAACAAGGAAATCGTTTTCACACACAACCTTGTCCTTTCATCAGAAAATGACGGTTGGTTCATGGAGTTCTCAGCGACTAGATCCCCTCCATGGTCTCTTGTTCGCTGATTAATGATCATGACATAGCTCTTATTAGGTTGCTGTTCACTTCTCATTCTTAATCAGCCTTCTAGTACAGGTGCATTGCTATTCGGTACAAAAGGATGGCACGGCATAAGTGTCTGTTCATGTAATGCCGTTATCAGATGTTGATGCATCCTTTGCGAGAACACAGCTTCTCAGTGCTGAACTTGAACATTTCCTGAAGCCCATCACAATGGGTTACCGAAGATATGAAGAACAGTGCATCTCCAGTCCAGTGGCAGACGAAGTCATGGCATACATAAATAGTCACTGGAAGCAATCGAAGCACTTATCATCTCCATATCATCCCCAACTGCTCACTCACCTCTGCACAAACGAGTAAAATCAACACCTGAAAAGAAATTGTCAAAATGACCGATTCTTCCCCTAAAACTCCTGCTGAGACTTCCACTAACGAGCAACAGGGTCTTCGCCGCTCCAGCCGCTCAACCCGTGGCCAACTCAGCCAGAACCGCTTTCTCCTACAGCACTTTGTTATAGGAGAAGAGGCATCTCGCCCGATTCCTGGGCCTGGACGTCGCCGTGCCATCGCAAAGCCCAAGCCTGATCATGACGATGGGTCGGGTCTGCTGGCACAATCAGCACCCACAGCCTCCAACAATTCACGTCGGCCTGGAAGACGGAGCGTGAGCAACAATCCCTCCATTTTTGGGAGTCGTGAGGAGACACCGGCCGTATTGGTAAGCCCTAGGCGAAGCAGTGTCCCAGCTGCTTGTCCTCTTCCAGCCCGTATTCAACATATTGGTGATCGTCGCCGAAGTGCCTCCCCGCCCCAGTTGGCTTCTGCAAACATGAGAGATCGTCAAGACCCGGCCCCCCAGCAGCAGGCAATCCCTGCGTTCCCTTGGCAGCCAGCCTTTCAGTATGGATTTCAATGGTCTCCTCAGTATCAGGCCTTAGGGCAGCAGCAGATCCCATTCTTTACAACATCTGCGCAGCCCGGTCAGATGGCTCCGCCTCAACTCTTTGAGCAGCAACCTCAAGAATCTGCCTCCGATGCCCCCGGAGTCTTTGTGAAGCCAGCGGATTTGATGCTAGACGTACAGGGCCTGATCAATCCAGAGATGAACCATATCCCCAAAACTGAAATTCCCCAGTTTGCAGAACTAGTTGACTCGTATAACAAGATTCACGAGGAACGTCGAGTACAGGAAGAACGCGACTGTCTGGCGGCGCAAGAGGGAAAAGACAAACAGAAAGCGGCAGAGGCAGAAGAGCCAAACCAGGAGGAGATGGACGCATTGTGGGATCAGTTCATGGATGCTGATGCCTTCAAATGATCCCATTGACAAGGTAAGCCCATCACTAAGTGATATTACTGACGTTTCTTAATCAGAGTTTTCTTATGCGAACAGTAGATTTCACCACCCAAATTGGTAGTTGATTTCACAGGTATGTCTCCCCTCAAGGACAGAATAGCCTGGTTCGTGTAGGATCTACTTTTGGTAGTGCAAAACATTGCTGGGTAAATATATGCCCTCTGGTACGGTAGTCAACGGTAGGTGAAAACAAATAAAACGAACAAGCCAGTCTTGGTCCAGGCTCATCTTCTAAAATAACCTCATGTGAAGTATCTTGTGTGTCTCATGAATCAGTCCCCTGTAATCGAGCGGCTACTTGGAATGAAGTGTCTTCCATCCCGTAGCGACCAAACTCTGATGGCCTACTCGATCACCAGCACCCGTCCAGTAGAAGAGACCACCTAGACCCATTGCTTTGGCATACCTCGCCTTAACACAAACTGTGCCAGGAACATCGAAAGAGACGAAGCCCTTGTCTCCTTTAGTATCGACAAAGGATGCCGCTGCGACGGATTCGTTGACCTTTGCGCCTGCTACCCATTCATCTGGTAAATCGCAGTAGTCAATCTCGCCCGAGCCCTTGAAAGGATGTCCTGGTCCACGAGCCTGTCCAAAATATCTGGCATATACTGGAATGCCGAGGATTATCTTACGGCTTGGGAAGCCCTGCGAGCGAAGGTAGTCGACGCCACGCTGGCATGACTTGCGAAGAGTGGGATACACCTCGTTGAGGTTGTTGCTTGGAGGTAGGAGCTGCGCATGATGACCACAGACGTCGGTCCAGCCGCCTGTGAAATCGTAGCCCATGAGGTTGAGCAAGTCGAGCAATTGGGCTACGACTGGTAGATTGAGATGCTTGAGACAGTACTCGCCAGTGGGAAGAGCACTTGTCAGCAGGTAATTCGGAGCTGGCATGGTCTCTCGGATGGCCTGGAGGTACAGAACATAATTCTTTCCAGCTTCTGGAGTCTGAGGGTGCTCCCAGTCAACTGTTGGAGGTTAACTTTGGAGCAACTTTGGCCTGGATATTAACGCACTGTCAACTCCATCGAAATGATGGGCGTCGCAAAACTCCTTGATCTCGCGAGCAAAGGTTTGTCTTGCAGCTTTGCTTGCTGCAAGTGCAGGAAATTCCTTGCTGCTAGAGCCACCACCTATCGAGACGAGTGTCTTTATATGAGGGTGCTGGTCTTTCAACTTGCGAAGTGCCGCGAGACAGCCCTTTTCGCCATCTACTACTTTATTGTTGTCGGCCCAATCATCGATGGACTACAGATGAAGTCAATGAACAGTATAGCTGTAGGGTTTCGAATAGGACTACGTACCCGAAGTGTACCATCCTCGTTAACACTGCCTGTATTAGCTTGAGAATATTTTGACGCTTTGGAAACATACCCAACAAAGGCGTAGAATATGTGAGTGATTGAAGCAGTGTCTAGGTATGAAGGAGGGCGCTCTTTATAGCAGCGCCACGAGGGATAGTACACAGCGTTGATGTATTGGTTCGACATTTTGTTCGGACGCAAATAGCAATGAAGAGACCAAGAAAGAACAAAAAGAAGAGGCCTTCCTTAGGTATAAGAGAATGATTTAGGTATCAATAAGCAATAGTTTCACGTTGCACAGAGACTCAGCCCAGTCAGTACTTGCTTGACCCACAGGTGCCGTGTTTTCGTTGGTCCAAGAGTTAGCAAGTAGGTAGTTGATGATTTATTGGAAGAGCCGCTTGCTGAACGATTCGAAAAAGAAAACATGTCATATTTATAGTCGTCACGAAAAGAAATATGAGATCATCGGGCACCAAAGAAGAGGCGGAAGCGGAAATGGCGAGACATGCGTGGCCAGCCAGTTGACCAGTATGAATTCAGTTGCCACTTACACGAACCGCCATCAGCAGCAGCAACAGCTTTGCATAAACGTGATGCAGCGTGTTTTATGTGGTGCGATACTTGATTTATTGCAATATTGACAATCTATGGACACCTACGTTGCTGAATATACGTTTGCCATACTATGAATCACTGACACCATCTCTCAATCTCGACTCCATCCAGGTCATCCAGGGTATCAAAACTCAAGTCCGTCTGCCTGGAGGCTACAACAATAATATCAAACTTCCTCAGGACATCCTTTCTCCAGTCTTCATCTAAGAGACGACGTACTTGAGGTAGTGCAGATTGCTTGACTAGAGAATCCGCCCAATATACGTCCACTTCACGCGAAACAGCGAGACTCTTGACGAGATCTGCTCCTGGGGAGTTGTCGATCTGTGACTGGCCGGCTTTGAAGCCCATGCCCACTACAAGAACCCGAGGCGTTCTTCCTGTGACTCTTTGTCTCAGTCTTTCCAGCACCCTCTCGGCTAGTCTTGATGGCCGAGAATGCATCGCAAGTGTAGCGCACTCGAGCAAAGGGAAGCGACTGTTTGAGAGGAGATAGAAGGGGTTCACTGGGATACAATGTCCGCCCACGCCAACGCTAGGCGAATACGGCATATATCCGAATGGTTTTGTAGAGGCTGCCTCGCAGACTTCAAATGGGTTGATGCCATGTGGGATACATGCATCTGCCATCTCATTGGCATAGGCGATACACACCATTCTCTGGCAGTTTTCATAAAGTTTCATCATCTCGGCTACTTCTGGCTTCGAAACTGGAACAACGGTCTCGAAGATAGTAGAATAGACTCTGTATATAGCGTCGAGGGAGCCCGGGGTGATATCGTCCAAGCCCGAGATGATCTTTGGGATGGACTGGACAGGAGGCTCGACGCGGCCAGGATCGACCCGCTACGAATCATTAGTATGTGAGCCCAAAATATCTGGACGAAGGAAGACTTACCTCGGGAGACATGCCGGCGAAGAACTGGCGGTTGGCAGCCAATGAACCGAGTAGTTGACGGGTCATACCGACCGCCACAGAGCTTTCAATCACAACCGTTGACCCAGAACGAGCCACTTCACCCACAGTCTTCAACGCATCACGAAGATAGGACGAGTCGATAGTTTTGTCGGGTCTGAGAAGTGTTGGTACTGATATCAAGAAGTGCGTAGCTCTTCGCAAGTCTTGTGACTCCCGAGAGAAATGCACATTCTCTTGCCCCTGATACTCAACCCCAAGGTCCTTGATTCTCTTTGCAGAGACGTCAAACCCAATGACTTGGTATTTTGAAGAGAACGAGCTGACCAGATGTGTGCCGACATAGCCAACACCGATGACAGCAATGACTGGCTCATCGTTCTGGCTGACCTCAACGGACTGACAGAGTGACTGATCAAAATCATCTGTATATGGAGATGGAGAGCTCAGGGGAGGGCTGTCAGGATAAAACGTAAAGTGATTATCGAGACGCTGCCAAGGAGAAGAATCCCCGGGAGGTGTCAATGGAAGAATCTTGTTCTCAGCCAAGGAAGGCAGATTAGCCACTGGCTTTGGAGGCATCACTTGGGCCATTCCTGTTGAGCAGACAAGAAGAATATAGTAGATGAGATATGAGGAGTCGAAGCATGAACGTAACTGACCGACATCCTACATCTAATTATATGCCCTCAGCCATTGTACTTCCATGTTCCAAGCTCTATTGCGCAAGATCCATAGCTTGTGCCTTGGTTCCTGAAGATCACTCAACTTTCTCACAGCAACACCGAAGCGAACCGCCTCTCTCAACGATGTTTCCACGATGAGATCATCACTATCATGAAACAAACGACCTCTACCTCTTCTACCAATTTACTAATCGCAAAGCTGATCCATAGGAACTAAAGGGTACCCAATCGCGAGCATTAACCAAAATCGTCCGGCTTTAGATTCAATCTCCTGGCTCCGCATTCCAGTCGACGTTGATCTTTTTCCACGAAGAGCCTTTGAGAAGTCGATCATCCCGATATAGTAAAGTGTCTCACCTAAGGAGATAAACGACGGAAGCTAAGTCAGGAACTGTTGGTCTTGGCAGGACTTCTGCAGGGGCAACATGAGGTTATGTTGGATTAACTCTGACGCCTCCCGAGCGGAAATCCTGGGAAACGTTGGAAAGATGGTGTTTTGAGCGGCTTCCTCATGTTGATGCATCAGTGGCTGTAAGCTTTGTTGCATGTTTTAGAGCGTGACTAGATTAGCCGCATCCACTTTGTTTGCTGTTTGTTAGTTAACCTTTGTTAGTATCACCGCTCACTCCTTATGATGTTGAGGCACCTCGAATCGAGGGGATGTGTGTTGACGATCATACGATATTAATCCAGTATTAAAAATATCACTTGACTGAACTCAATTTATAGGCTGGAAGCGTTCTTCGGCGTCTAATTTCAGACAGCAACAACATAAGGTACTACTATGGTAGGTAGTCATGGTGAATAAGAAACTAGCATGACACTCCGAAATATCGCTACGGCTACAATATCAGTGATCTTAGATCCATGCTCCAACTAAAATCCAGCTCTTAATTTATCCATAGATCGCTTAGTTCATCATTATGTCATGGGTGTTTGCTATATTTTGGAGCTTCTCTCCGAGGTAAGCGTGGATACGGCGAGCCCGAATTTTGTAATCACAAACCCGTGGTGTTTCTGTACGAGGTCAAAGCTATACCTCTAAGTCTGACTAAGAAATCCTAGAAAGGTAAGCTATATGAGCTTAAGAGTTTGCTCTGGATCGACACATGGGAGACTTGTTTGCCATTAACCCTGCTTTTCAACACCAGAACTCCACCCATAAACAAGAAATCTAAGCATGATGACGCCTCATGAGAGCATATGAACAAGATGCTGAAGCTAGATCCAGTCTTCTACCCCTAGATGTACTGTTTAATTGGGCTATAAGCTGACTTACCGAGTTTTTATGGCGTTTGGCCCATGATTGTCGATATTCACGACTCACGTCAAGTTCCACTCATGTCTGCCTGGTTCCAAAAAGAAACAGAAACTTGCAAATAGTATCATGCAGCTAGTTGATCTCATGCATTAGGCACAATTTGGACGCCCTTATCACCACTGGAGAGTCTTCATCCGGTGAGGAACACACCCTCTTTCACAACATGGAAGGCCTAAAGACAAGTTCTAGCTAGTTCAGGTGAGTGGGCAACCTGAACGGGAGTTCCTCAGTAAGCTGAAGGTTGCATAGAGTTGAATAATCGGCTAGAGAGTGTTTGTTTGTCTCCAACGATCCCATCGGTGCATGGCTAATGAGGGAAATGGTGGGCACTACGAGACTTGGTAGAAGGTGATGTGCTCAGACAAGCTGTCAAAGTGACACATACCTAGCCTAGCTATTCCAAATCTAACATCAATGAAGAATTCTGTTGTTGCAATAAAGAGTAGCAGCACTTATAGGAGACTTTACTTGCAAAGCCTCCGGCTTCCCCATTCCAACATGGAATCTCGCTAGAAGACTTGCCGCATTCCAGGTAACCCAGATACCTGGTTTCAGAGAACCGTTAAAAAGTTTCTCTCGACGGCCGGACGTTGCAAAACCTTGCTAATCCGATCGACATGGTTCCTCGATCGGTGGAGCAGCAAGTCTTGCGTCTTGGGCCCGCGAGAGACTAAAAGGGCTCACCACCAGACGGCGTGACGTTGGTGGCATCAGAGCCAACACCAACTTCGACGGTAATGGAACGTTTGCCTAATTAGCAAACTACTCTTCTTTAGTTTGCGTTTCAAAACACTCCGTACCGGGTTTACTAATCTGGTCATGATCATCATCGCGATCAACTTCTGACAACCCTCTCAGTGTAAGATGAAGCCCCATTTGGACTTGGTGATAGGGGTCAAAACACAGAACAGTATCCTTTGAGCGATTATGAAGAGAAGAGAAAATTTTGGTTCACGAATGGAGGTGATCGACGTCAGTGGAAGATGTCCGAGCTCATGATCGCGTCAGAGTTGACGGTGAGAAGTTGGCAGACTGGGCAACATGGAGCTCGATCCAGGAAGAGAAAGGAGTGTTCTTTTATGATAGGGGTGAAATATCGAGTAATGATGCTTATGTTAAGCTTAAGTCTCAGTATAACTTATCTCTTGATGTAGAAGTTATCTGCCCCTTGCCATATGCTCTAATTTCTCCTTCATCCGTTCCAAGAACCATTGTCTGCTTGTACTACCAACAACATGGAGACTTTTCATGTTCCAGAAGCTAGTACTTCTGAGAAGACTGTAAGTCAACTCTCTCGTTAGTAGGGCCTTGCTAACATGCAACAGAGTGCCCCCCGGAGAAGCCGAACACAGCAGGAAAAGAGCCATCCCCCTCTCCCGTCGTTCTTTACCAAGGGTCCAAACAACAAATATGTTCTCAAAGATAAAGAGGGACACTTCCGTGATGTATCTCTGGGAGACATCCTGGAGAGAACCAGTCAAGACGACGCAAGGTCGTCTGATGAAAGCATTGGCCCCTCATTGTTCACTTCCTCCCTCTCATACAAGTCATCCTTTGCCCAGACATCTGTCTCCCAGTTCTCGTCGAACCCTCCCACTAAGCCAAGCAGCCCTTCTCTTGGAGAGTCTTCTCAACAAAAAGACCTCATAATTCCTTGTCCAAGGCTGCCTGACCCGGTAGCTCGACAACGGGACAGCGAGTCGGTGTATAGTATTGAAGATGTCTCGGTCCCGGCCGTCGACTACACTGCCACTGCCACTGCCACTGCCACTGCCACTGCCACTCAAACCTCTCCTCGCAACTCAATCCTGAAGGAGAATACCGCTCCTACCCCAAAGGTTGAGATTGACTCCGAGTCTCAGAACTTGGATGAGTACCTGAGGAAGTACGGTCAGAGGAAAGTCACTCGGCAAAAGCATATCATGACTGCGTTTCTGATTTCTGTCAAGTAAGTCTCAACACTCCTACACAAGATAAAGATAATCCTAACATGATCAAGTTTTATGTTCATATTTGCCTCTTGGTGGTGGCCTCGCTATTACTATGTTTACATCCCATTCATCTCATTCCCCCTTGTTCTCAACTGCATCATGATCGCCTCCATCATCTGTTTCACTCTCAAGAACCTCATCTCTGCTGAGAAGATCATTGAGCCGGATCATCTTGAGGACCTCATCATGATCATGCCTTGTTACAACGAAACCTTGGAAGAATGTACCAAATCCCTTGATTCTCTGGTGGATCAAGTTGGTATTGACAACCACAAGAGGGGTATCATGGTCATTTGCGACGGCCGTGTCCGCGGGCCAGGAATGGAGAAAACAACATCCCAGTACCTCAATGAAGACATTTTTGTCGAGCAACTCCACCGTGAGAAGATCACCAGAGCTTATAGAGCCTGGGATGGTCAAGCCATGGATGTCGAGATCTCATGGGGTTACTACAAGGGCGTTCCATTCTACTGCATTGTCAAAGAGCAAAATCAGGGGAAACGCGATAGCCTCATTGTTATCCGCTCATTTCTGTACAAGTTCAATATCAGAAACACCAACCCCACTACGATATTTTCTTCACAATTCCTGCTCTCAATGACCGACTGGCTTACACAAGAAGTCAAGGTCAGTCAAGTGGACCATTTAATCGGCATGGATGCAGACACCGTCTTTGACAAGGGCTGCATTTCAGAGCTGCTTAAAGAATCAAAATACGCAAATACCGTGGGCGTTTGTGGCTATGTTGCAGTCGATTTCAAGGACGGCAGTTGGAATCTGTGGTCAATCTATCAGAATGCCGAGTACACAATTGCTCAAGGCTTGAGACGACTGCATCAATCCATTGCCACCAAAAAGGTCTCATGTCTGCCAGGATGTTGTCAGCTGCTAAGAATCTGCGACATGACTTGCGGTGACAAGGTGCTGGTAGAGCTGTTTGGGTATTATCCTAGACCACTTGATGGCATGATTACACGCATCCGAGCCACTGCCTCTGAAGACAGAAATCACATATGTCAGCTTCTTACGACTTTCCCAGAGGCGCAAACTCGACAGGCTCTGAGAGCTCGAGCGTACACGGATGTGCCTCATTCTTGGAGTGTTTTCTTATCCCAACGCCGCCGCTGGACACTTGGAGCTACAAGCAACGATTTGCTATTGACGACAGCAAGACATTGCCAATGGTGGGAACGAATCTTGGCCTTTTCTAATGTCCTTACGTGGTGTCTCAATGTCTTTGTAATTGCTTCTATCGGATGCATGATCGTTGCTTTTATGCATCAGCCGTGGTGGATCATTATGGCCTTTGCAGGCATCATGATTGTACCACTCATCTACTATGTTATCATGGCTGTCTGGCTTCCTCAGTCGATGCTGGAGAGGTTTCAGTATCTTTTTGGCCTGTTCATATTCGTTGTTCTCGGACCATTTCTGAACATTGCAGTCATGGTATTTGCTGTTTTTAACATGGATAGCTTTGGCTGGGGTAAGACTAGGAAGGTCATCGCTGAAACACCTGAAGACCGGGTTCAGGAAAAGCAAAGATTAGAGGGCTCTAGCAGTGGCTCAACCTCACCACGGGCTGAATAGTGCAAGGAACCAGGTTGCTGAGACGGCAGCGGGAGGAACAGTCCGGAGGCCGACTGTAGTATACATGCCGCCAATTGCTCAACTCTGGTAGTTCGGTTATTAGTAGTTTACAGTAGCTGGGCGCCAAAGCCACAATACGATAGACTTAAAGCTTCTAAATGTTAGTTAATCCCGATGTGGGTGCATAGATAGCATTGGGATGTACGTGTATATCCTCGGATTTAGGTATCGACCGACCGCTATGCCCTCGAGTCTCACAAAGACATCCTTGTAGAGTTCCTCAGCCGCCTCTTTCAACGTCGTCAACTTACTTACATCAAAGCGCGGTCTCCCCACCCACCACCTGAAAGACTGGCGTTTACATTTACATACATAGTTAGCTCAAAGGCTAGAGCCACCACGCTAGAATCGGGAGCGGCGGCCCAGAAGCTCCTCTAACAACGTGTCGATCCCGTACCTCTCCTGGTAAAGTGCGGCTACTGCCAGGAACAAGGGGTGGTGTAAAACGCCATGGGCTAAACATTTCCAACTATGGTGAATTGGTTTGGCACAATCAATCGTTGATGGTGTATGGCATTCCATGTTTGGGATCCTCACATGACGAAAGTGACCAAATTCGCTCACTCTTATCATTGCACTATGTCTTCTTTCTCCAATAGCCGATCAGTAATGGTATAGTCGATCCTTTCTTTGACCATTGCATGACCCACAGAGAGAGTCTTTACCGGTGGAAGCGTCAAAGCCAACAACGCCTCGTCATTGTCGTTGGAGCTGAAAATAGGAGAACAAGACTAAAAAAGAACTTTACGTCAATGGTTTATCTTTGTTATCCACAAAAGAAAACATCCGTAATGCAGCTCTCGTCATCAAGGCCCGTTGTTCAGATCGAGAATAGTCCTGAAGATGTCTGGCGGGCATCAAGGATTTAAAGTACTCAATGGTCCAAAACGAAGGACTCGTACTTATATCTAGAAGCTGTGGTGCACCTGTATGTCGATCCTCAGTCTTTATTTCTTCGGCACAAAAGGATTCGTTGGATAACTGTTAGTGTTTGATAATGAAGTCTCTTACTCTCCTGTCGCTGGCTGCTCTGCCCAGCATGGTCTTTGCACATGACTTTATGGCCAGACGCAAGGGAGCTGAGTTCAACATCGCTGCTCGCCATGAGCATGCTTCAGTTCAGTCTGATGGGCTCGAGAAACGAGCCTCTTGTGGAAAGGATAGTGGCTCTTGTCCCAAAGGACAATGTTGCTCTGCCGCTGGCTACTGTGGCACCACGTCGCCTTATTGCTCTTCACCCCAATGCCAAATGGCCTATAGTAACGGCAACTGTGATGGAAAGTATGTTGGTTTCCGATCTATCCGTTAACGCCTGACCTAACTCACGTTCAGCAAGAAGCCCAAGGGTGATACCACAGCAAACATCCCCAGATCAATTAACGGCAAGGTCCCTTATAGTAAGTATCTAAGTATCGCTACCTGAACCACCAACCTGACCATACATAGATGTGTATATCACCAACTGCACTACTCCTGGAACTTTCGCCCTGACCTTTGATGACGGCCCTTATAAGTACACTGACCAAGTCTTGGATGTTCTCAAGCAGAACAACATCAAAGCGACATTCTTCATCACTGGTACCAACCTTGGCAAGGGCCAGATCGATGATGAAACTACAGGCTGGCCTAAGATCCTCCGCAGGATGTACTCCGAAGGTCATCAGCTCGCCTCGCACACCTGGTCGCACCAGGATCTCACTGCCTCAAGTGACGAGGTCCGTCGGCAGCAGATCATCTACAATGAGATGGCCTTCCGCAACATCTTCGGGTTCTTCCCCAAGTACCTCCGTCCCCCGTACGGAACCTGCAACCGAGTGTCCGGCTGCCTTGACTATGCCACCAAGCTTGGTTACCATGTTATCAACTGGAACCTCGACACCAAGGATTTTGAGAACAACACTCCCGATAAGATACAGACTAGCAAGAACACTTTCTCTAAAGGCGTTTCCACTAATGCTAAGGCCAATGCTTACATCGAGCTGAGCCATGATGTTCAGGAGCAAACTGCCTACAATCTCACTGCTTTCATGATAAAGACAATCAAGGACAGGGGATACAAGGCCGTTCCCGTCGGAGAGTGTCTGGGAGATGCCCGTGAGAACTGGTATGTCACTGATCCTAAATTCAAGTCCTCAGTGCCTGTATACAGTGCCACTCCTTGTAAGTATTTTCACCTGCACGATACACTCCATCGAGGCATGCCCCGATGTATCACAGAGGTTCTTTAAGCATGTGGTATCACTCGGCTGTTTCGGAGCTTTATCTTGAACCCACAAAGCTGCAAGAAAGCAAGTACTGATATGCTCAACAGCTGCTTCACCGACTACCGCGACCGCTGCTACTACCAAGGATGGCACATGCGGTGCTAAGAATGGCGGCGCAAAGTGCACCGGATCCAAGTGGGGAGACTGTTGCTCCTACAACAGCTTCTGGTGAGTCTTCAGCCCTAGCCCCTAGCAGACAAGCCACTGACCAACTATTTCTTCTACAGCGGCTCAACATCCGGATACTGTGATGGCGGTTGTCAATCCAACTTTGGAAAGTGCAACAAGTGGACTACTGGAAGTGCTCTCATTGTCTCGGCCAATGGTCTTTGCGGTGACAAGTATCACCAGACATGCAAGGGCTCTACATACGGAGACTGCTGCTCCAAGAGCGGAAACTGGTAAGTTCTCTCTCGTCCCATTACTACGTTTGGTCTAATAGCGTATCTAGTGGCAAGATGAGCGCATATTGTGGTACTGGATGCCAGAGTGGCTTCGGAACTTGCACCTCCTCTGAGTGAGGCGCGGGAATTTGATGCAACCTCCGGTAGAGCTGCAAGCCACTATATGGTAACTCACCTTTGTTTATATACTTTCATATCATAGACGTGGTTTAAGCAAATAGGCATTTGACGTTCAAAGTAGTATTGGCGCAAGGCCATATAGGTCTTGGACTCTTATGGTTTCTCTTCCAGCAAGTCCTCATGTCTCTCTGTGGTGTATACCGACGCCTTCTGACCTCATACGAGTCGATCATAAAGTCCTAGTACCTCAAAATGCAGGAAATACCAGCCCCTGGAATTTCTCAGCAAACAGCACGGGTACGCAGCTGAGTTACAAGTCAACGGGACTCGATTTTGAGTCCAACTGGCCCAACACGGCGGAGTGCAGTACTTGGCCCGTGTTGACAAAAGCAACCATATACCAGCCCCTGTCTGATGATCTCTTAAGCCTGTGTAATAACGTCCGAAATTCTTGGTAAATCCACCGGACATATGTGAGAATAATGCTATTGCTGTTCTTACTGGCCAAGCCATCACAAACAAAAACTCAAGATGTTATTTTATCGTCAACGCCGGGGCTTTACTCCTATGAGGACTCGACCGGCGCCACCAGGTGACACAAGATATGTCGGCTGTGTTCTTGTGTGCACAAACAACTAGGATCTGTCACTCTCACAACGTGCCGGCCCTTGTGAATTCAGGCGCCGCGGATCTGGCCACGCTCGCGGCAGAATGCATGCAGCCGCTGTATCTCACAAATCTGCATACATTACAATGCTTTGTTATGTGCGGGTAATCTCCTCGAAGATATAGCACGGGTGTCAACAGATGCACGGATACCAGCAACTCCGAGCATCTCCGGGCGTGAAAATGCCCAGTCAATAGGGGAATACCTTTATATCTGCCTTGATCAACTTTGCCCAACTTCGGCCAGCTCAAATTGGTAACTTGGCGGGCGTTTGGAGGCTGCCGATGGCTTTTACACGTGCATGTATGTCTGAGAACCGTCCACAGTTATTTTTCAGCTTGGATTCTGCATTTCTTTAGACAGACCTGAAGTTTCTCAGCCATAAGTATCGACCAGCGGCAAGGCGCCTTACCTCGCCTTGCACAACCGCCAGGAATCTAGGTAGTGTTGTTTGTCCAGCCGTTGTCTGTCAGCGTTTGAGGCGGCGGCACTCGTCGACTAAGCGGCAGCCGTTTGTGCCATGGCACCGCATGTTCCGGATGTTTCCATCAGTCACGGTGGCTAAGCGCCATTTCTGAAATCTGTGACTTATCATCCAGCGTTTCATGATGACGAATAAGGAGGACAGCTCTTGGAAATAGAGCTCTTAACTGACATCAGGCCTCAGACTTAAATGAAGTTCTCACAAGGTGATTGTATTGTCGGTGCATCATGCTACTAACTCGATTAAGATGCAACTGCATTGTCACCTCTCGGATCTTCTGTTGGTGGAGATCTCTGCTCGATTGCCATGTTTTAGTTGAAATGATGCCGCGACCTGTTGAAAGACAGCAAACAATTGTTGGTTGGAAAACCATGTTCTAGAGGTTAGTAGCCAATGATGAAATCATCAACCTCAACCAGTCAACTGCTCATCGTTGGATACAAAAATAGCCCAGACCATGGGGCATGTATCCCAGCCTCATAGAACAAAGGCGATCGTGGTCCCCCTAGATCTTGCTTGGATCTTGATTTTACCACTGCCTAGGTATGCATCTGATACTTCTCGTGGCCTGTGTCACCACGTTCGAGCCCCAGCACTAGACCGACACCTCTTGACCAACTCCACGATCAACACTCATCGAGATATGCTCCGTGTCGGTGAGCTCGTGCTGGATAAGTGCCATAAAAAGCAAAAACAATATCCTCATCGCAAACAGATCTGTCAAGCGTGGGGCCAGTGTGATCTAGAGTTTAGTTACCAGAAAACGTTGTTTGCCTCAATGAACAAGTACCCATTGTACAGTGTGCGAGGCGTCAATGGCCATGTCCACAAGGGGAATACCACATGGAAGCGTGCGTTAGTTAGAGAGGGCCCAAGCTCGGCTGCCCTGGTCAGTGAGCATTTCGAGACATGGCATGGCTAAGCCTCAGACGGGTAGCAACATGTAGGTATTGTAGATCAAGTCGGGGCACAGGGCAAAATCGGCAATGAAAGAAAAACAT